GCGCACTCTATCTCTCTCGCGCGCGCTATGGCGCACCTCTCTCTCTCTCTCTCTCGCGCGCGCGCGCGTTCCAACCTGACAGGCAACCCGTTCGTCGCGTTGGAGCGTTAGTGCTCGCGCGGCAAATGAGCTGCAGCCGAACGCGCCTACGCGTTAAGTACTTGTTCGGCCCGTTCCCCCTGCGGCAACCCCCAGGAGGCCGCCGCAGGCCGGTGCCCCGCGTTTTTTTTTTTTTTCTTTAAAAAAAAATAAAAAAATAAAAAATGAATGCACGGGGTGGTACCCGACAACGAAGACTACCACCCTGCACCTTCACAAAACCCCCTCCGCCCCCCCGAGAGCGCGAAATAACGATTCGCGGACCCCGTTCATTCGCGTTCAACGCGCGTTTGAACGGGGATTGAACGCGAATTGAACAGGCGTTCAATTTTTTAACGCGGACCCCGCGTTAAATCGACTTTCGGACACACAGGTCGACGGTGTTTGTTTGTTTGTTTGTTCGACCATCCGTAGTTGGGTTTTCTTAATATTCTCCTTTGCTTTAGCTATATCTTGATCGTACAAAATTGCAACTTTTCTTGTTCTTGGGGGTAGTCGTTGGACATGTTCCCTTGTCAATGTATCAATGTGACATCTCAACTTCCAACTTTTGTGAAGTGCGTTGGGTGTTCTGCCTATAACAGTATGAACACTATTGTTGTACGCACTCGCAATCTTTAGAAGTTCTCATCCTAATCAATTTGATATGGTCGGACATACACACGCAAGAGTTGTTGGCACGATTTGTTCATCTGCTTAGTTTGGCCATTCATTTCAGGATGTCTACCTGACGATATGACCAGTTTAGTGCCATACACTTCTATCAGTTTTTTGTCAATGTTGGTCAATGAACCGTATATCCTTTTTAGAAACGATGGTTTTTGAAAATCCATACTCTGAAACTCGTCGCATCTAGAACTTCTAGATGGCGAGTTCCCTTCTTGCTTCCGATGGTACAGGAACGAATATTGCATACTTAGATAATATATTGAAAATGTCATTACCTAATTGTTTTCATTCCAACACTTGGTAGAACTCATGAAATCAATAGAGATGGACTCGTGTGGTTCACTTGGAATAGGAAGCGTTCGAAGTAGTACAAAAGGACTTTTGTCAGACGTCATATTCCTTTGGCAAACAAGACAAGTTCTCGCATAGGTTAGTACACCCTCTATCATTCCTTTCTATCCGAACAACTCTCTCACATTCGCATATCTCTTCTCTTACTCTTTTTAAGTGAATAACGGGGCTCGCGTGACATTCACATGTGAAACCCGCCTTCCAGAAGTTCCAATGTTGGGACTGTTCCAATGTTGAGAAACGGTCGGGACAAGAGGCAGGCTCAACGAAGAGAAGAAATGCGACGTTGGAGCATGCGTGTTTTAATACAAGTACATAGCGGCATGGTCGGTCGTGCTCGAAAGGTCGAAGATACAAAATTGTCTCGGTGTCAGCGCACGTATCCCTTCGGGCCGGCTTCGGAACTTTACTAAATGTGTGAAATGAGAGTGAATCTCCCGCTAGGAACCGGGAACAAGCAGGACCTTGGGTCAAGCCCATCAACAAGTCGGGAGAGGGCGGGATTTCAATATGTGCCCGACTACAGCCTGTGTCCGTTCGAGGAATTTTTCCTCTCCTTTTCTTCGCCTCCCCTGTATGTGTCGATGTTCCCGTGAAAGACTCATTGCGGGGAGGCGTGTGGAAGTGTATCAATCCCACTACGTACTCGGTCTGCGTGCATCTTTCTATGTTGATACCCATCTTTCTGATGTTTACTACTATTTTCCCCCGAATATAACGCATATACGTTGTATTCGTGTTTTTTCCAAAAAAACACGGGTTTTGGGAAAGTTAAACCCTTTTCTTCGAATACAAGGGGACTTCGAATATAACACATGCTTTCTATTCGAATAATACGCATATGGGTTATATTTGAATTTCACGAAGAGAAAATTGTTGTATTCGAATGTAACCTTTTTTTCTTTTCCCCGAAGGTCAACGCCTGCTCTGTTTTTGCCCTCGTGAATGGGACAGGCCCGTGCAAGTCCTGTAATCATAGATCACTGCCGGTGCTCTCTCTCTCTCTCTCTCTCTCTCTCTCTCTCTCTTGACCCCTATGCTCTTCTTCAGGCAAGAAACTGCTCTTCAGGTCACTGACACGCGCTGCAGGGCTCTCTCTCTCTCTCTCTCTCTCTCTCTCTCTCTCTCTCTCTCTCTCTTTTGCCCCCTATGCTCTTCTTCAGGCAAGAAACTGCTCTTCAGGTCACTGACACGCGCTGCAGGGCTCTCTCTCTCTCTCTCTCTCTCCGTGCGCGAAGGCGCTTCTGACAGCCAAGAAAGTGGCACTTCTGACCGCCAAGAATACCGCGCGGCCAAGAAAGTGGAAAAATAAGAAAGCCACTCACCAAGGTTTCGTTGCACTACTGAGATCACCGAGACAGAACAGAAAGGGGTTGTATTTGTCCACAGTCTTGTGGAAGATTCATTCACATTTTGCACATTTGCTGAGTGAAGGAAGGACCCAAGTACTAGGGGAAAGGAATGAAACTCGACCCAGAACATGGAAAGGTACGTCGCTACTTTACTTTTACCTTTTTGCCAAGGCTCTGAGGCTCCCAGCCGTGGTCCCGACTCAGCCTACTCAGCCTGGACCCAACCCCCTTGCGCAGGCAAAGTTGGTCTCGTTCACTCGAACATAACGCATATGCTTTGTAAACGAATACAACGCACGGTATGCGTTGTAAACAAATACAACGCACGCATGTATGCATATATATATATATGTATATGTGTGTGTGTGTGTGTGTGTGTGTGTGTGTGTGTGTGTGTGTGTGTGCATGTGTGCGCCGTACACTGAAATGTGTTTGGGGCTTTCGCGAACGCCTGAACACGTTCGGGTGTTCAGCCAAACGCCTCCCGAACGTATTCGGTGGCACTTTTTTTTTTTACAATTTCCGAATTTCGTTTTTTTCCAAAATTTTGGATATTAATTTTCAACTCGCATTTGGTAAGAATTTGAACATGCTTCCGGGCAAAAGTTGTTTCTCAGATTTTACATAACATTGTTTTTCCCAGATTTTTTCGAGAAACACTTGTTTTCGTTTTAACATTTTCATTCCGCATTCTAATGGTTCTGGCGCTCGTTCGCATTCGGTCGCGAACATTCGGGATGGGTCACATGATGCAAACACGATGCTACGCAGATATATAGTACACAAGGAGTCACAGATCACATCCCCAAATCAGTCTGCCTTCTACTTATGTCGATAAGACTTTGGACTTAGCTCATGTTGGGTCCTTCCTGGAGGAGGACCTCACCCTCCCATTGTGTTTTGATGGAGCTCCTCACCCTCCCATTGTGTTTTGATGGAGCTCTCTCTAGCATGTCAGGCAATCAAGAGCAGTTACAGGCTTTTGCCTACAAACAAGCGTGAATGTCAGCCACGTTATTTTATTCTGACACAGAACAGAACACAGTTACACAACTTTCATGTTTCTCCACATTGATTTTATTCTGATTTTGATTCATTCATCCACTTTCTGGATATACTGATTGTGGACATTTGACGATTATATAAAAGCCCGCACGAAAACGAAATTCCACGTTACTTCCCTATGAATAGAGTCTGCTGCAACTTCCCCTATTCCAGCATGTGTATGTCCGAAAAGCAGTGACGTTTAACAAGATCAAAGTGGAAACATGTGCTCCAAGTGTAGCACATGTTTCCACTTCTTCAAGCTGGACTGTGGAGATAAAGCAGCAGCAGAAGCAGTAAAATTGCTTGAAGAAGCCCATGTGCCTATCTTCCCCTATTTATTTCCGTTCATGATTTTTCCATGCACAACATGAAACACAGGCTATCAGAGTGCGCTTTTCCACAATTCTTTTCTTTTTTCCTTTTCCCCTGCACAAAACACAGACCGACACAAACAAAGGGGTGCCGTGCTGTCACTCCTGCTCGCGTTACACACACCCCATCACCCAACAGCCGATTGCGAGACAAATCAACTCGGTGACTGACAGCCGATTACGAGATAAATCGACTCGGTGACTCTGTCCCCCAATCCCACGAACCCGTCACGAGACCAAGAGGGAACAGACAGCTTTGTATAATTGCTCGTGACGATAGGGTATTATGTTCAGGGCAAGAAAGTAAAAACTTGGGGTACAAATCTGCACAAGAGTGCATAGCGGAGGAAGAGATGACACAAGCCCACAATACTCGATGAGCTGACAAGGTAAAGTGGCGTACCCACGAGCTGAAACAAAAAACACAAACCGTCATGCTTCACGACCTGACACGAACCAGAAACCCGCATGCTGAAGAACGCATAGAGAAGGAATTGATGACACAAACCACAAACAGTAACGCTCCATGAGCTGACAAGTACCACCATCCCTAATCTCCTCCTGTGAGGGCAATCAATGCTGCATGCCTTTTTTAACCCCTTGAATTGCACATGGAATAGGTGGGGTTTTTTTTTTGTTTTTTTTTTTTTTTTTTCCGGGTTGGTTTACTTATGCTGTCATCTACTTTCGCCTACGATTTACGATTTTTCCTGTGAGGGCAATCAATGCTGCCTGCCGGAAACTGGGTCCAGCTTGGATTGGCTCCTGGTTCGTAACTGGGACGCTGGACCCGGTTTCCGGCAGGTGCAGCTCCCCACTCATAAGTGGGACCATCTTCTATCCAGGACCTATTCGTGGAGGTTGCTCGTATCACATCCACGAATAGGCCCTTCACAGATGATTTGAAAAGGAAAAAAAAAACAAAAAAAACAAGTTGGGGATAAAAATGGATAGACAACCCACAAACCGGGACGCTGCATGAACTCACAAGTAACATCCCATTGAGGAGGAACTGATGACACAAACCACAAACCGTAACGCTCCATGAGCTGCCGAGTACCATCGCTAAAAAATGGATTGATAAACGGATAGAGTACCGACCTTCTTCTCCCGTAAGTAGGGTCATTATACCTGTACTTAGACTGAAAGATACCCCAAATACAGCTAGAATTGATGACACAAACCGCAAACTGTAACGCTCCGTGAGCTGACAAGTACCACCCCTAAGAAATGGATTAATTAAAGGCTAGAGTGCGGCTACCTTCTTCACCCAAACGCACGGTCATTATACCTGTACTTAGACTCAAAGATACCCCAAATACAGCTATAATGACCGTATATTGTACTCCGTGGAAGGTGATCTAGACAAGACTACAAAATGGGAATCAACCGAAACACAAGGGCAGATGAGCACAAAGACAAGCAAGGACACCAGAAAGCAACGAGACAACGGGTGATCAAATGTCATATAGCTCCTCACATGCTTTCACAATCAATAACAGAAGTGACCGATCCAAGGAGGACCACTTGCAACGATATCGACGCAGGGATTCCTTCCCTGCAGGCACACAAAAGACGAGTCGGGAAGAGAAACTCACACCCACCTTCCACAGGCTTCCGGGAAAATGTACCGACAATTTTCTACCAGCAATTACACTGCCAACATGGCCCTTGACCTGATTCAATGTAGCCAGACCCACCCAGAAACCAGTGCTAGGGGGACTAACAGCCCAGGATTACCTCTATAATCACCTCACCCTACGCTCTTCTCATGCAAAAAACGCGCAACTTTCACTCTGTACACCTCTTCCGTTCCCCCCAAGTCTATCTTCGTATACTACAACATTACCTAAATGCCGCCAACCAGATGGGGGCCTCCAAATTCCGATCAACGCAATGCGCTATTGGATGGATGAATGCAGCCGAAGATCCAAAACACACATGATTGACAAGCCCAGTCAGTACAGACACTAACCATTCTATATGTGCTTCCTTCCCTTAGCGAAGCTCATACACCAGTGTAAGTCCGTCACACACATGTGATCCTTCCTTTGCGCAAAGGTCAATACACATACGTGGTTGCGAAGCACATGACCCAGCAACTAATCAGTCACATCCAGTGATGATTTATCCGCTGTCGAACTCAAACGAACTCTCAAGCCACGGAAGGAGGGATCGGCAATAGCAATGTGCCGATGATGACCAACGCCAGTCCGACGGTGACGGGCACAGGATTCACAGTTTCTTCAAGAAGCTCCACAAACATGGTCGCCCTAAGTGACCTTCACTTCCTACTCACAAACATGGTTGCCGAAAGTGAGACCTTATTTTGAAGATGCTCCTCAGAAATTCGCTGACTCCGCATCCTTTGCATGATAACTTTGTCTGCCGCATGAACCCATCCATCATCAAAACTCTTGCACTCTCATATGCTCTTCCTGATCAAGGACTGGTTCGCGACTCACTAGTGCGGAGAAATTGTACTGCTCCCATCCAAACACGATGACATTCACAAGGTAGAGGACCCCACTGGTTGAGAGCGTTAGGCTATCTTGGCCGAACATAAGGACGCGGGGACATTCACAAGGTAGAGGACCCCACTGGCTGAGAGCGTTAGGCTATATCTTGTCCGAACATAAGGACGCGGGGATCAAAATTTGAACTCCTTATGCTTCTTTCCTTTCGCATCCTTCTCCTGTGCCTTCCGCTTTCTCTTTTTCTCGTTCTGCGGAGCAAAAGAGAACGGCAAATGTAAACCAGGTCAGTACACAAGTGAAGCAAAAGAGAACCACAAATGTAGGCCACGTCAGTACACAAGCGAAGCGAATCACATAAAAGGAGGCATTTGTTGTACCAACGAAACCTCGAAAGCTCCTTCCTGCCCCCACAAGTCACATGAAAACAAAATCTAATCGTTATTGCCCTCTGTTTGAGTCTGCTCAACACCCAGTCTACCCCTGCACTAAGCAAATTTCCCGCTATCAACCCATCCGATCCTCAAACTGGCTCAGTTTCCTCAATTTTGGCTATCCCCTCCCAAACTCACATACTAACGAGCACACCACTTAAAAACCAACCCTTCAATTTCGCCTATTCCCTCACAGCTCTTTCCACTGGCCCATCACCAAAACCTTCACAGGCACTTCATCTTGCTAAAAAAATACACCTTTGCCACTCGTGTCCAAGCACGCACAGAACAACACCTAGCTTACCTGCCTGCTCGAACCTCGTTGGACATTTCCTCCACGACCTTCCACACCACGGCTGACACGATCTAGCCGCAATCTCACCCTGCTCCTGCTCCTCTTCTTCCTGCTCCTCTTCTTCAGCCCTGGCTCCCCCCCCCTAGATAATCAAAACCCTCCTCATCATCACTGACCCCCTAGCACCCCCGGCCGCCCCGAGACTGAAGTTCTCACCAAATACTGCTATAAAGACCACCAGGCGTTCTATTTCCGTGGAGCTGGGCACACACCTACCACCCCCCCCCCCTCCTCTCCAAACTCCCGTTAATAATTGCTGCCTCAGGACTAAAATTCTCACCAAGTACTGCTATAACGACTGGGCATTCTATTTAGGTGACGCCTGGAGCACACCTTCCCCACCCCGTCAAGACTCATCCACCTCCTTTGACAACCCCCATATCTGATTCAAAACACACCCTGTCCAATTTGTCCGCTGCCAGCCCTTTTTCACCACTTCTACACTTCTGTTGTCCGTAGAATGTGGGACAAAATCCGACCAAACGGCGTGCACTGTGAGGCTATAGTCACACACAACAAAAACCTGCATATCCAGCTGCTACACACGTAATAAACCAGGCCAGGTACTCTCCTACAATCTGCAATCCTCAGGGTATGCGAGGGTGAGCACAACCCAAATCTGGCAAAGGGAAAGTTCGGTTGTTTTGTTGTTGTTGTTTGGGCGCGGGGGATGGGCGGAATGTTTCTGTGCGGGTGGGTGGGTGGGGGCCACGGCTGCTCCTTTTTCTTCCCGGAACAACGGCCAAGAGAAGCAAAACGACAGGTCAGGAGAGCGGGAAAAAAACTGACAGGAGCGGGTGGCAGGACAGGATAGCAGGAGACGCTTATACACATCTAGATGTGTATAAGAGACAGGAAGGGGACCCCGCTGGAATAGAGCAAGCGAAGGAATGTCTTCTTGTGGCAAGCAACCCACTCGCCACCGTAGACGTTAGTGACCTTCTGCTGGCGAAGCCTCTTCCCAGCTGGGGC